TAATTGTAATATATAAAATGAAGGGCTGGGGATTTAGCTCAGTGGTTCCGCTACCTGCCTCGCAAGTGCAAGGGCCTGAGTTCGATCCCCGGTACCAAAAAAAAAAGAAAATGAATACTTCTTCTATAGAGATAGCTCTCACAATTCATAGGAAAAACAGAAACTGCCCAATAGGAAAATGGGTCAAAGATATGAATAAACAAATACAGTAACTGGAGAGTCAGTCCAAAAGGCTAATAAATACAATCTCACTAGCAGTCACGGAAACTGAAATTAAAGTAGAAATAAGATATCATTTTTTACCTATTACAATGGAAAAAATTTAAAAGCCTGGTAAAAGCCACTGTTACCAAAAACTTAAAAGAAAAGAGTGTTCACTTACTTTCTGGGTGTAAATGTGAATTGTTAATTTAAAAAATTTTTTTTGGTGGTACTGGGGAATGAACCCAGGGCCTTTGCATTAAACTATATCTCCAGACCCCTTTAATTTTTTTTTTTTTAATTTTTGAGACAGGGTGTTCCTAAGTCACAAAGTTGCTCAAATAGGACTTGCAATCCTTCTGCCTCAGCTTCTCAGAGTACTGGGATAACAGGCATGCAACACCATCCCCGGCCTCAACCCACCAATCTGGTGCATAGAAACTAAGCCACTGGTGTGGAAGGCTGTGTATATAAAGATGTCTGTAGAGTTACAGGAAGACTATGGAAGTGTCCAGAAGAGGGTTAACATTCCAGGCCTGAGACTGTTACCTTAGGCCTGCTCTGAGGTGGCCCTTGGTTGTTGTCTGGGAACTTGTAGGTAAACAGTTCCCTACATTGACATAAAACTTCCCCTAGGTGATAAGAATGGCTCACTGTGCTAAACTGCTTGTGCAAACAATGTGGTTTGTGCTGCATACCAAAATTCCTTCTGGGAGTCTGAAATTTTGGTGCATGCTAGCTACAGTGTGCTTACATGACCAGCCCCCAGTAAAAACACTGAGCATTAATTCTAAGGCCTTCCCTGGCAGACAACACCTGGCTTGTGCTGTCACAACTCACTGCTCAAGGAATTAACCATGTCCTATGTAACTTCACTGGGAGGGAACTCTTGGAAACTTGCTCCTGGTTTTCTCTGGATTTAGTGCCAAGTGCCTTCTCTCTTTGCTGATCTTTCTTTGTATCCTTTGCCTGTAATAAACTTTACTTATCAGTACAACTCCATATCAGGGTTTGTGAGACCTTCTAATGAGAAATTTGGGGTGTCCTGGAGACCACTGACATGGGGTGAGGAGAGATGCAGGCAGAGAAGGTAAATGTGGGGAAAAAAGAGAGTAACAAAATATTGCAAAAAAATAGAAAAGTGATAAGAGAATCATCATACGAACTATGATTTCATTTTTATTATGGCATGCATCCTTGTATATAAGTACAGAACAATATCAAAGAGGATGGAGGGGTTGTGGCTGTAGCTCAGTGGTAGAGTGATCACCTTACTTTTGTAGGATTTTAGGTGATTTATTTTTACCTTTTCTTTATAATATTTTGATTGTTTTCTAAGGCTGGAGACTGAACCATGTCAGGCAAATGCTCTACCACTGAGGCACACTCACAACCCTAAATTTGATTTTCCAATGAGCCTATGTTATTTTTATAATCAGAAAAGAGATAAAGCCATTTTCATTTAAAAAGGAAATAAAAATCAATTGTTGGAGTCTTGTTTAAAACACCAGCTCCTGATGCTGCCTTTACCAACTCCCCACTAAGTTCCTGAAAAGGATATAGAAAAAGGAAAAACATATCACACAGGAAGTTGGGTGATTGATGACCTATTCCCAGAAGCTGGGAGAAATTTCCACGAATTTTATAGCATGTGGAGTTGGTCAGAAAAACAAGATCAATAGATTTTATGGTGTCCCAAAAGGTTCCTAGGGACAGACACCCTTATTCCCTGCCCCACTTTCTATGGTTCAGAAATGTGAGATCTGTCTCACAGAGAAGACAGGACCACTTTCCTTCCACTGGGTGGCGCGTGGCTTATTAAGTGGTTATCTCTACTTTTTAAAGAATTTTTCTTTCTTAGATATTATAATTTCTCACCAGAAAGAAAACAGAGGTAGAGACTGCCAATAGCATACTGCATTTCTAGAAGCAAAGTGTCATCAGAGGGGGCCGAGAAAGGAAGAGTCCTAGCAGATACTTATACCTGAGGTTAAATCTTTGTATAGGTGTGGACTGAGGATTTAGCTCAGTGCACTGCGCCTGCCTTGCAAGCACAAGGTCCTGAGTTCGATCCTCGGTACTGAAAAAAAAATCTTTGTATAGATGAACTGAGCTGTGGGCTGGAAGGGGAGTGGTGGATCCATCTTTGGCTAGCAGAGATGAAACAGACTCAAGTCTGCAGCATACTGACAACTGAGAAAAAAGTAAGCAAACTGCCACTAGCCACCAGGTGGACAGAGAGTGAGTTCAGGGTAGGGTGACTACATAGTTTATAATCCCCACTGGGATACTTGGGAGTGCCTGGGGTACTCCTGGTAGCTATAACAGCAACAGGCATCACCAGGGCTGGCCTAAGCAAACTCGGGAGTGGGAACACCCTGGTTCACTCAACTGAGTAAGCTTGAATCAATTTCAAGTATAAGCAGAAAGAGAAAAAAGGTATCAGATCTGAACACCACCACCACCATTAAAAGGTAAAAACTGAAGAGAAAGAACATGAAGATAAAGAGAACAGATCCATGAGAATAATTTACTGTGGCAGACAGAAAACAGAGATCCAACTTGCAAATTTACAAGCATTCTTAGAAAAAGAAAAAGAAATGAACAAAAGCAATTTTTCAAAAAGCAATTAATAGAGGGAAAACTAGGAATGAAATAAAATTTAGTATTTCTATCCAAAAGTTATTCTGAGTCCAGGCAAAATAAATGAAACCAAGACCAACACTTAGAAACATCTTGACAATTGGTAGGGAAGAGACAACCTTTCTTGTTCACATATGATATAATCATTTACCCAGGAAAACTAGTATCAACAAATATGAATCAAGAAAGGTTTCTCTCTGGATACAGATAAACCAACATAAGCCAATATTCTTTCTCTGGACTAACCCTGCCATGTAGATAATATAATAAATTCACACTAGCAAGAAAAGTAGTAAAACATTTAGAATTCATAAGGCCTCTTTCAGTCTTAAGGCCAGTGAAGATGATCTATTTCATACTCTTGATGTGATAATTTAATATCGTAAAAATGTTAATCTTTAAGTGAATCTATAAATTCAATGCAATCCTAATAAAGTTACTGTTGCATTTAATGAAGTTATTACACATATTAAATTTCATATTGCAGAATAAAGGTTGATGTATAGGTTAATCCATCTCAATAAAGAGAAGCAGAGAAGATGGATTTATCCTACTATATACTAAGACATACAATAAAAACTGTAGTGTATTGCAAAGACAAATAGAAAAATGGAACAGAACTAAGTACTTTGAGACAAAAAAACTATATACAAACTTAACATGATAAAATGACACCAACAATCAATGGGAAATGGGCAGATTGTTTAGAAGATGATATTGAGAAGACTGGGTAACTATATGGAGGAAAAGAAAAACTGAATTCTTATGTAAAACCACATTTATGGGTGGATTCTAAATGTTTTATTTTGGGGTGGTTTTTTTTGTTTTTTTTTTTAGTACTGGGGATCGAACTCAGGTCCTTGCGCTTGCGAGGCAGGTGGTGAAACCACTGAGCTAAATCCCCAGCCGAGTGGATTCTAAATGGAATAAAGATCTATGTGTAAAAAATAAAACATACATAGAATAAAACATAATATCTTTGTGACACAAAGATAAGGAAATTCTTATTTAATAAAATTCTAAGGCACAAATTATAATGCAAAAATTGAAGGATTTGATTATGTCAAAATTAGGGAGTTTGTTCAACAAAACATATTACAGATAAACTTCACTTGAATGTCTACAAAACAACAGAATATATTTATAAAGTCTAAAGTGAATAAAAGGTTGAATATTCAAGGAATTCCAGCTAATCAACTATACCAACTCCAATAGAAAAATAGAAAAACGGACAGAGGATATAAACAGGCATTTCACAGAAAAGCCCAAGGAGCAAACAAGCATTTAATAAAATGCTTAAATGCAATAATAACCAGGGAAATGTAAAGTAAAACAATAATGAGATATCATTATACCAATTAGTCTGATAAACTTTAGGTAGCAGGTAGTAGATATCATACTGGTATGGATGTGGTCACACAGTTGTAACCCTTGTATACAGCTAGTAGTTGTGTAAACTGGTAGTGATTCTGAAGCCGAATGTGGTCCTACTTATACCAATTAGGTACATGCTATGACATATATGCTATTAATCAGCAACTTTTTTCCTGGTAAATATCTGAAGCGCATCCTCAAAGAAATAAGTGATTTTTTTTCTAAAACACATTTATAACTTTTTGTATTAAAATGGTTTACACAGAAGCAATGAGAATGGGGGTGGGGGATAAAAAGAATGACTGTAAGAATGAAATAAGAGGGGGCCTTGAACAGATAAATGACATGGGTACGAGTTAATGAGACACAAAGCTAGCAAGCCACACCTGATGTCAAGTGACTGTGCAAGCGGTTGTAGGGTAATGATGGGTGAGGGAGGTGGTCATGAACACAGTGGCAACGTTTTTGAACTATAAAACAAAAAATTTCTTTAAGCATTTAAATTGAGAGAAAAAACACAGCTACAAAAGACGAAAAGTAGACTGGCCCATACATCTCTTTAACTTTAAATACTGGAAGAGAAAATGTCTCCAGAATTTTCAGGATAAAATAATTTTGAACTTGGGTAGTCAAATAAGTTTTCCATGTGGGAGGGCAACAAACATTCTAAGATATGCATAGACACACAAAATGTACCATCATGAATTTTATCACACTCAAACATTAAGTAAATTTTTAAACACAATAAAGACTTTAACCTTATACATAAAATATGAAATTACCTTTTGTAGGAAGAGGACAATCCTTACAAGCATCTGGGCACGGAGTTCTTCCAAGGTAAACAATGTACGGGGTGTTCGGATGAAAATTTTGGTCTTCCCATAAGCTACATCATCCTGAAAACCACATTGCTCTATCAGTTTCTTGACAGCCTCTTTGTCTGAAGGAAGGTCATGGTTGGGCCAGGTGAATTCAGAGATCATCTTATACCTGGAAGAAAAAGAACAGAGCACAAATTAAGGGAGAAAAACCACACGATTATCTCAATAGAAAAGCTATTAAAGTTCAAGATGTTCGGTAAAGGACAAAACAAAACATTTGTAAACTATTAACAACAGTGAATTTCATTAGCCTGATAAGGATACAAAAAAAAAAGCCTTCAATAAAATAAAATATGACTTCATGAAAATAACTCTTATTAAACTAGGAATAGAAGGGACTTCCTTAACCTAATTAAGGTTATTTACCAAAAATTTAGAGCAAATACTATTTGTAAATGGGTGACCTTGGGAGCATTCTCTTCACAGACACAAAGATGCTGCTGTCATGCATTCTACTCTACACTGTTCTGGAATACAGAATTGGCACACTAAGACCAAGAAATTAATTGGTAAGTGAGGAAAGAACAAAACTGATACTGCTTATGAAAAGTTTGCCTCTCTTCAAAGGAAATCAAGCAGATCTTTCATAAACTCTTACAACTAAAAGAAGTTAGGGTCAGGGATGTAGCTCAGGGGCACCGCGCACGCCTGGCAAGCACAAGGTCCTGGGTTCGATCCCTGGTACTCAAGAAAAAAGAAAAAAAGTTAAGCAGTGCTGCTACATATAAGACCAATACACAAAAACTAATTGCATTTCTATTTACGAGCAGGCAACAGCTCCTTGCCATGTAGGTCTCTCATAAGGCAGCTCACACTTGGCAGCTTGCTTCCTGAGTGTGGCTGAGCAAGATGGAAGTAGTTTTGTAGCCCATATTCAAAAGTGACATCCCCTTGCTTTCACCATATTCTGTTCTATTAGAAACAATCAGTAGGTTCAGCCTGCACTCAGGGAGTTCACAGGGCATGGATACGAGGAGACAGGGTCACCAGGCCATCTTAGAATCCTGCCTGCCACAGTGATTTCCCTCCTTAAACTGTTGTTTAATACATGTAATAAAATCACATAATATTTTCTTATATTGCATCTGAATTTTAAGTCATTGAGCGAAGAGTTTTCTTTACAGTCACAGATTAATTTACTGATTTTTCTTTTAGCACTAGCATGTTTTCTTTATGTTTAAATCTCAGATCTCTTTGAATATGGTATAAGGTATGGATTCAATAATATTTTTCGATAACTAGCTATCCAGTGATTCCAACACCATTAAAAAGTCTATACTTCTCCCTGTGATTTAACAGGCCCTCTCTACCATAAGCTGAATTTTCATACAGGCTTCAGTTAATTTCTGAACATTCTAGTCTGTTTCATTGCTGTGTATTCATCCGTACATTGGTACCTCATGGTTTTAACCATAAGGGCTACAAGAACATTTTAATGTCTCTCATTTTTTTTCTTTTAAAAAGGTCTTTCTAGCTATTCTGACATGCTTATTTTTTCATATGAACTTTAGAATCAGGTTTTATAGTTTTAGGAAAAAAATACAATCCAGGAAACAAAGTAAAAACCCCCAAACCTCCAAAACCCCCTCGATACCAGTTTTATTGAGATCATACATTAACTTTACATATTGTGTTGAGCTGTCCTACCCAAGAGCAAGGGATGTTTTCCCATTTATACGAGTCCAGTTTTGGGATTTCAGGCACTTTAAAAGCTTTCCTCATTGGGCCTTTTGTGTTTCTTGTTAAGATATCTAAGCAGCATCTGATATGGTTAATTTGCTCTATTCTTGACACCTCTCTCTCCTTAGCTTCCTGGATATTCCTTCTCAGGTCACTTTCTGGCAAGTCTGGCTACTACTGTATCCCTAAGTGTGGAAGTGTCCTAGGACTCAGCACAGGACTTTTATGTACACTCTCCCCACATCACCTCATCTAGCCCACTGACTTTAAATAATTTATTTAAAGTATAAAAATATAAAACATAAATATATTCATGTTTTAAAATATGGAAAATATAGTTTTCAATTCATAATGTATTATCCCTAGCCTCAGCCTCAGTTCTGAGTTTCAAACTGTCAGACCAGTTGCCTACACAGGTCTTGAACGCATCTTAAACTTCTCTTTCAGTCTCCTTTACCTCAATGTGCTCACTTTACTGAAGTTAGAATCCTTGGAATATTTTTATCCCTTCTACCACTTTTCTACCATTATTTCTAACCCATCAAGTCCTGCTGATTTTACCTCCAAAATATATTTAAAATCCAACAACTGTGCTCATCTTTCCTTGTGCAATCCTAAGTTGTTTTTTGTTTTTTAAAATTTCCTTTGGAATTCATTCTGTTGTTTTTAAAAAAGCTTTTAATCATTTTTGTCTTGCTATTCTCCTCCCTTCACACCATCCTTCAATCACCTTGAATTTGTTAGGGTTCTGTAATGCGGTGTCTCCTTTTTGCTTAGACCTTGCATGCACTGTTTCCACTGCCTGGAATGCATTGTACTTAGTCCTCAAAAGGGTGGGTCCTTCTCTCTTGTACTTTGGTCTTTCCTTGATCTTCCTACATCAACACTCCCCACCCCACGACCCTCTCTAAGACAGTTTTGTGTTATTTTTTTCCCCTGTACCATTTATGATAATTTGTAATCATAATGATTTGTGGGCTAATCTGTTTAATGTTAGTTTCCTTCACCAGTCTGTGGGTACCATGAAAGCAGAGACTTTATCTATCGGCCATCATGTCTGCCATGCTATGAGGCAACAGATATTTGCAGGATGGATACAGGAATGCATTTAAAAGCCTTCTCACTTTGATAGACGGGGACAGAAATCAAGACAAATGAAAGAGTTTTAATGTGAAGACAGAGGTAAACCACACAATCTCACAAAAAAGGAAGTAAAATCAGAGACCTCTCAAATTTGTTACAAAACTAGAATGAGGGCCCACCTCTGGGGTCTAGTGCAGGTTGACGGTATGTCATCAGGCACACTGCGGAAGCTGGAAGCAACCCCACTGCCACCTTGCTCAGCCCACAGGCACTCTGCTTTCCTTCTCTCTGGCAAAGGCCATGACTCCCATTTGCTAGCAAACAACATCCTAAACTTGTTAATGAAAAAGCTGCACTCATCTGCTTTCTGACAACTTGCTTGACCTCTCTGTTAGACTTCAGTCACTTTTAAGGTTATCAGTATGCTAAAATCCTTCTCTTGGTTTTTACAATAAAAGAAATGAAAATAAAGAACAGTGACAAGCGAAAATTTAGATTCAAACCTAGAATGCAAAAAAAAAATCTGCAGAACCTAAAACCAAAATTTCATTTAGAAAATAGTTTTTTTCTCTCTTCATCTCTAGAAAGATTGATCCAATATACCACACCTATCTTACCCCACATTTCACTGGTAATCGGTTCAATCAGTATGACAATATAATGAAATGACAATTTCTCAATTTTATATGAAGTGGAAGATAAACCCAGACTGCAGAGTAGGAATGGGCTAATTTTTGCAGGTGCACGCCCATCATCTGATCTGGTATTTTCCTACATGATTCCAGAGGATCATTCACCTTGATTTAAATAATCATGGATTGGATTGACCTGTTTGTTCAAAAGCACATTTTTTAAAAGAGTGAGTTTAACACACTCTTTCATAGGGTCTTATTTTTTTCCGATTCCCCTTCCAAACAAACCTGTGCTTTCTCATTCACTAAAACAACTCTTTTCCTTTCCCTCCAAGCCTTCTACGCCACCTCTCCTGACCCTTACTCTCAGATCATGACCTTGCCTCAGACTTCATTAGACCATAGAAGAGATCAGACAAGAACATTTTCATCTTTGCCACCAGTGAAGGTTCGGGCCTTCCTGATCTGTATTCGTGTTCTCTACCTTGGGTCCTGTTGCTATGGCTAGTGTCCCTGCTCCCATGTGTTTGCGATTCCATCCCTTCTTGCTATCTCCAGGATGTTATTATTGTGATTACTGTATCTCCCTTCTCTCCAGGTTCACGGGTTTCCTCCCTTTTTTGTGAATCATCTTCACCTGCATACATTTTCTAGTACCTTCTGATCTTTCACTCTTTTCCAGGGACTGTTTTCATTTTTTTCTGCTCCCATACACAGCAAAATTTCTTGAACTGTTGTAGAGATCTGATTTCTCATTTTCCCTTCCCATCCTGTTCCAATCAGACTCTGCTACTTTCCCCTTTGACCTCTACACTGCCAAATCTAATGCTTAAGCTTCTGCTTTTGTTAGTTGCACAGCAACACTTGACATGTTGACTGCATGTTTCCTCTTGAAATGCCACCTTCTCTTGGCTTCTGTGACATAATCCTCTTTTGGATTCCTTCTACCTCACCAGTTGCCTTCTCTTCTCTTTGCTAGTTTCTTTCTGCCAGACCACAAAACCTAAATACTATCATAGGCCTCCTCCTTTTTATCCAGTCCTAAAGTTTTATATGTTATCTACATACCATTCACTCCAAAATCTCTTCTTTGCACCCTGACTTCTTGCCAAGAATACATATCAATAGGTTACTTAATATTTCCACTTACATGTTTAGTAGGCATCTCAAAGTTGACATAGTCAGGAGAACAATCTGATTCTACCTTTGCTCCCATTCTTCTTCAGGCTTATTTTACCCGATTTCATGTCAGCAAAGGGTATCATGCTTATCCAGATGCTAAGGCCAAATCTACTTGTCATCCTTCATTCCTCTGTACTTCTCTCATCATAACCAACCTTTCCATGAGCAAGCCTTGTCAACTTTACAGCCACAATGTGTTAGGACAACTCTGCCCACTACTTTTATATCTACAATAATCCCTTGTTGAAGACACTATTTTAAAGCTACCTTTCCTGGATCTGGTAAGAGCATCCCTAAATGTTTCCTTGTTTTCTGTACACACAGTAGGTGCAATGATGCCTTCAAGATATCTGTAAGCTTGCCACTCCACGGTTAAAATCTACCAATGGCTTTTTAATCATATCTAGCCAAAACCTAAATGGTTCAAGCTGATTATAAAGTTCAACATGATGTGGCCCCCATCTATGTCTCTGTTCTTTTCTTACTCCACACCTCCTCACTCAGCATCCTCCAACCACAGGGACTAATGAGGTACCCAAAGTGCCATAATTGTCACTGCAATACAGCCTTCTCTATGACTGTCCCCTCTGTTCCATCTGTTTTTTTGAGACAGGGTCTCGCTATGCAGTTCAGGCTGGCCTCGAACCCACTATGTAGCCCAAGGTGGCCTTGAACTCACAGTAATCCTCTTCCCTCAGCCTCCTGAATGCTTTGATTACAGGTGTGCACCACCACGCACAGCTTTGTTCCACCTTCTGACGTCACTGATCTTTGTATGTAATGTTAATGTCTCCCTGTAATTGTTATCTCCTCAGAGACTGTTCTCATCAAATAATCTAACATACTCTGCATTTTCTCATCTTTTTTTTTATTCATTTTATTTCATAGAATCTGTGGCCCAGAATGTAGAAAATGTTCCATAAATATTTTAAAAGAAGGGGCCGGGGATTTAGCTCAGTGGTTCTGTCGCCTGCCTTGCAAGTGCAAGGTCCGGAGTTTGATCCCTGGTACCTAAATAAATAAATGAGTGAATGAATGAATAAATGAATAAATAAATGAATAAATGAATGAACGAATAAATGAATGAATGAATAAATACATAAATTAATTAATTTTTTAAAAAAGAAACAAAATTTAGGGCTGGCAATTTAGCTCAGTGGTGCCGCTGCCAGCTGCTGCCAGCCTCACAAGCACAAGGTCCCGAGTTTGATCCCTTGTACCAAAAAATAAAAAATAAAAAATAAACAAAATTTAACGTCCATAAATGGGGAGGGGAAGAAGGGTTAAAGGGAAGGGAGGGAAATGGGAAAAAAATTGAAGAATTAAGATATATTATGTACAGGTACAAATTCCCTATGATGAATGTGAGAACTATGTATGACAACTGTGTACTAATAAAATATTTTTTTAAAAGAATTTAAAACCTTATGATTCCCAGAATTTAAAACTATCATTGCCATTATCGACTATAACAACAGCAATATTTTCCATTTGAGTGACTATCATATGTCAAGTATTCATAGATATTACCTCATTTAATCCTCCAGCAAGCCAGTAGTTACTACTATATCCTCATTTCACACATAAGGAAACCAAGGCATAGAATATTATGTAACTTGACCAAGGTCATATGACTGGAAAATGGCAAAGCCAGGATTCAAACCAGGAGGATTAACTTCATAATATTCTATTTTTATGATAATTACCAATACCAGTAATGATAAGCAACATTAAAAGAGTACTGTATCTGTTATGTGCCAGGAACCTAGGCTCTTTACTTAGGTTAATTTAATCACCACAGCAACAGTCCTGTATGCGATAATGCACACATTCTCCTCAAATGATTAATGATAACCACTAGGTACTCCTACTGATTCTTAGAAAGTATCTCAGATTTGCAGTTTTTTCAACTCTTCTGTTCACTCAGCAAATATTCGCAGATGGCCTACTACATGCTGATACACTGTCATATACGTGCAGGACCCTGTAACTCTCCCTGTGCCATTAATCTACTCTCACCTGTGAAGAAACTTCTCATAGGTCTGGCGGAAGGCAAACCCTGCCCGGCGCACTCTCACGTTTTCCAGGAGTCCAAGGTATTCTACTTGATGCCGACAGCGTTCTTCATCAAATATCTGTGGAGACTTTTTCTCATTGGGTTTGATGCAACGTACATAGTATGGTTCCTAGAGAAACAAACCAGCAAATGATAAGTTTCACCGGAGAAAATTCCCTGACTAGGGACACTAACATGCAATTAGTGTTAACTGTACCAAATGAAGCTCAGTGCCTTTGATTTCTCAGGCACTTACTTGTGAATAGTTATTCTCCTTTTTTTTCTCAATTCAAGGTCAGAAGTTCCCATGTACTCAGCTATGTTTTTATTTTACTATGATTTAGGATTCACCAGAAACATCAGGGATAAAACTAGGAAGTACAGAATTGAGACATGTAAACATCAATTTTTTGTGTATTTGTGGAAACAGGATTAAAGTCATCAAGGGAATAATTCAAAATAAAAAGCAACTGTGCTAAATAAAGATCAAATATGGTGAAGAGTGCAAAATATTAAAGTCAGCTCTGGTGCATACTAATTGGTCCCTAAGTGTCAGCCATTATTATTATTATTATTATTATTATTATTGTCATCACCATCACTGTCATCATCATTGCATTAATTTGTACTTTTGAAAAAGAGATTAAACTTTATGGCAAGTCAAGAAGTTATAAAACCACCTGTAGGCGTTAGTCATTCTATGAAAGAGCCCAGCTAGAAATTCTTCCTTCTGTGCCAATTAAGTCTTGTACCATGCATTAGAACATAACTCATGTTAAATATAAAACCATGTTTGGCATAGATCCTAGAACACTGAGGATAATGAATAAATTATCATTGGATGAATCCATGAGGTCAAATATATCCTACTTATTAGTGTACAGCATTTCTCTTTCCTCTCTGAATCTATTATCCACCAGACACACAGATGCACTCTAATTAAGACACAGAGTTCTTGGTAGTTAAATTAAGCAGTTTGAAGCTCCACCGAGGGATTGAGGTGGCAAGGGGTAGCAAATAATTTAAGAAGTAGGAGAGATTTGAAGAATGTGAATTGATTTGCATTTTGAACAGAATAACAGTTTTCAAGATCTAACAAAGAAGCTGCAATTGTATATTTATCATGTTCCTTATATGGTAAAAAGTAATGTCATTCTCTCTCTTTTTGTGAGCCCAGTTGTATTAGCTTCCTATTGCTGGCAGAGCAGATTATCACAAATTTAGCAGCTTAAACCAACACAATTTCATTATCTTACAGCTCTGGAAAGAAGTCTGAAATGGGTCTCAATGGGCTAAAATCAAGGTGTCAGTAAAGTTGTAACTGTCAGAAGGATCTAAGTTAAGGGATAGCCTGTTTTCTTATCTTTTTCATAGGGCTGTGCATATTCTTGGGCCTGTAACTCCTTTTGATCATTAAAGCCAGCAATGTCCAGTTGAGTCTCTCTCATGATACCATCTGTCTGGTTCTGATTCTTCTGCCTCCTTGTTCCTCACTGTGGGACTCTTGTGATTATACTGGACTCACCTGGATAATCCCTTATTTTAAGGTCTGCTGATTAGCAGCTTTAACTCCAACTACAACCTTAATTCCACTGTATCATGCAATGTAATAGGTTCACAGGCTCTGGGGGTTAGGATATAGACATCCCAAGAGGCTTTGGTATATTAAATAATAAAGTATATAAGGTATAATACTAATAAAATATATGGAGATTGAGTTCAACCATATGGCCAATGATTTAATCAATCATGCCTATGTACGAAACCCTTGGAGGCTTGGAGGAGCTGCCTTGTTGGTGAGCAATAAAAACATCAGGAGATGGGCCAGGGATTTAGCTCAGTGGTTCTGCTGCTTGCCTTGCAAGCGCAAGGTCCTGAGTTCGATCCCGGTACCAAAAAAAAAATATCGGGAGGGTGGATGGCCTGACTCCGTGGAGACAGAAGCCACTATCCACACTCAGACATTGCTTCCAGACCTTGCCACCCTGTGTAGTACTCCACCTGTTGTTTTACTTGCACCTTTTAGAAAAAAAGCTCTAACATAACTATAGCATCTTCTTCAGTTCTGTGAATCATTCTAGCAAATTTTCAAACCTGAAGGAGAGTATGCCAACTTCCAAATTTGTGCTTACATGTAGGTGTCTGAAGTCAAGGTCAGTCTTTTTGGGGACTCTGCCCTTTAACTTTTTGGATCTGATGCTAACTCTGGGTAGTGTCAGGGGGAACTGAATTGTAGGACACCTCACTGGTGGTGTGATACAGGAGGCATTCTTCTGCCTCTCACACCTGCCCTTAAAAAAAAAATTCTTATCCTGTGGGAGAGAATGAAAAACATGACCATTATATTTACAGAATTTTTCCATAGGAGGTGGAGGAGGTTCAACCCTAATCCTTGAACCTGGGCTGGCCTTGTGACTTGTTTTACCAAGACAGTACAGCAGAAATGAGACTTCTGGAGACCTGGGCTTGAAAGGCTTTTTCCATCTTGTAAACTACTTCTTTGAGCACATAAAGAAGGATAGGACAAAACACTACATGAAGAAAGATGCCCAATCATCTAGCCATGCCATTTAGGTGAGAACATCCTAGACAATCAAGCCCCAGCTGCCTGGCCTGCTTGGTGAGCTCAGCAAAAGAAATGCCCAGTAAACTCACTGAACAATAAAGGAATAATAAACTGTTGTTGGCTCAAGCACTACATTTTTTTTTCTTTTATTGGTACATTTTAGGTATACAATTCATTTACATTTATCATTGGGTGTTTGTACCCGTACATGATATATCTTGGTTCTTTTTTTTTCCCCCCATTACCTGTGCACCCCTCACCCCCTCCGCCTTTCCCTATTTA